GCTATGCTCAGTAAACGATAATCTTGTCCAGATCAGCAGCGTAATCTTGGAACAAGGGTTGTCAGTACCCAAGCACAAGGTGATAATGTGACCACAGGACTTACTGCTCTGGCCGGCAGCAAACGTAATCGAGTTGGCACCACTTATAAAGTTCACTTGCACTGGAACGCTGATAACAACGTTTCCTCCTCCACTATCTGGTTGGTCGACCGAAGTGGAAGGACCGCCGTTGACGCTATATTCAAATAAAATAAATGAGTTCGGTCTAATCACCGACTAAAGATAAGCGAATGCACTACTGACCTGACAGTGACATTTCTCCAGCTCGAGTCTCCATTGGCATAGTAAAGTGCGACCCAGTGTGCGCCCCCGTTGCTCTGGATGTTATTGATGGTCACCGTGCCACCATTACCTGTATGAAATGAAACGTCAGTTCCTTGTCTCCATTCTACGAACTGATTAGAAACACCCACCAAGCCACCCAACCGCGGTTCCACCTGAGAATCCTGAACTGGTAAGAAGTTGAGATGAACCACTCAAAGTGCCTGCCTCTGCCTCATAAGAAGTCCCGCTCGCAACTGAGTAGGTTCCTATAGTAACAACGTAAGTCAATAATCAGATACTAACGTATTCATGGGCTTCCTTTCAAATCCGAAGATTTCGAAAGGTTCCTTCGTTGAGGCTAACGACCGGTAGAAATCATTCTGAAACGTACCTGCTTGAACGTTCACACTCCAGACATCGGCATGAACAAGGCTCGGGTTTCCACTGCTGAAGTCCAATGGGTACCAGATGTATCGACTACTGCCGAGCAAACTGGGTCTCCAACGGTCACCCATGTATATCGCATTTGATCCAAGTAGGAGGTTATAGGCATTCTGTGAGAACCAAGTTCTCGTCGCGGCTGGGGCGATATCGGCCTGTGAGCTCCATGGGCCAGCGAGAGACTGTTGAACGTGTAACCAAAACGCAAGCGCAACCGTTCTTGTCAGAAATAATGATTGTTATGAAGCGGTTTCGTAAAACGTACCGAGGCGGAGAAATATTTGTTAGGGTTCGGCGCCCACCCACTGGTGTGTGACGCAATCAAAAAGTATTTCTGTGCGGCGGTCGAGTTAGAACAATGCCCGAACAGTTCCGTCTCATCTCACAAGAAGAGATGAACTTAACGCACTCCGCTGTGTTTAACAATACCGGGGGACTCCAAAGTAGATGCTATCGGACGGTAATATGAGGCGTGATGTGATAGAAGCGGAGGTGTGGCGTAGACGTACCGCTCAAAACGCTCGTTTGAGAGACAACGTTGTAGTAATCAGCGTCCAGCACAGAAATCTTGAAGTTTTGGTTGTTGTCCGATGCGTATAGTAGGTAAGCCGTAGAAGCACCTACGAATGTAAAGATTGTACAACCTTGTCATCAACCATCTAAAAATAACTTACTGTCATCTGAATTCGGAGGCTTTTGCGTAAGGAACGCTGCAGGTGCTGAGTCAATAAGGAAGCTACGTACCATCCACGAAAAGACCCATGTCACGAGAATCTGCGCCGAGCGGTTTGAAGCTACCTCTGTAACTGTATGGTCCACATGGTGATTTCGCGGTGGCAACGCCGACCATAGCGGCACCATAGCTAAGTAGCGAGAAGTTTTAACCTCTTTGCAAATGTGAAAGGTCGAAAATACACACTTAGAAGTGTCCGAGTGGAACCACATGACGTATTCGCTATTCTGTAGAGACGAAAATGAGTCGAACACGCTTTACTCACGAGAATAACCCACGGTACCTTTTTGTTGAAAATGACCTTGGGACGCTCGACGATGTTGTTAGTAGAGATATTGGTGCCTGCTTGAGGAGTCAACGCGTCGCTCTGACGAGCCCAGTTGACCAGATCATTCGACTGTGTGTATTGTTAGACGCATTCGCCAACTATGCTGTATGCCCAACTTACAGTATAGCAAGAGACGGCCTTGAAGAGGGCACTGTTATGTGCCTTATCTTCTCCAACCCAGTAGAAAGTACTTCCGACTTTGAAGATACCGGCACCGTGTGCCTGAATGACAGTACCACTGGTATCAGTCCAGGTGGCACCAGCGACGATCACATTCTGCGCGGAGGCAAAGACTAGCAACGTAGCCAGAGACGCGAGGAGTAAGAGAGCCGTCATATTGGGCTTTCGACCAAAGCCAAGCAGCCGTCGTCGTCCATCAGTCGTGATTTCTCGTGTTTATATCGGATCCTTGGAGTGTATGCACGGTCCGCCAACGAGGGCAACACACCGAAATTCCAGAGAGTATACTGCAAATTCAGGATCAAGAGAACCATTGAAAAGAGCCAGGTGACAGTATAAAACGGAACCTGGCCCGCGCGCTACCGAGGAGCACCCGGTGAAAGAGGGCAAGGTTACGGAGGAAGACATATAGAAACCATCATGCATGCAGATCATACACATGTATGAGTTTATTTGTTGGAAGAATATAGTAACTCGACATGGAGCGTGACATCATGATGAAATACAGAAAGCATGACATGCAAGCTCACGCTACAAATGATTCAATTCAGCTGACGGAGTTGAGAAGATGTGAATGGGAGAAACGTTACCCGGATCCCGTATACCCATACATTTGTTTTCTGGATAGGTTCGCGGTCCGAAAGAGTCGAAGAGGACTCCGCCACGACATGAGGAGCGTAGATAATAATTGTTGACAATCTCATGAATTACCTTTGCGTCAAATGGACCAGACTATGTTCAGGTCGAGAGTACTTCGCAGTGATTGTTCTCCCGATGTTCTAAGCTTGAAAAACCTGCAGATTGGTTAGCCAAGCCTATAGAGTCATGCTCTGTCATGCCAGTCTTCTGCTATGCCTTAGTGATCAAGAGAAGATCGGTGAAAGTTTTCAGGACTCGGACCTGTGCCTTTAGCAAATACCAGAGAGCTTGACAGATCGGAGTGAACTTTGTTGGTGAAGAACAAGAAAGTTCGGAGTGTCGCGGTCTGTAGACTCTGTACGACCGTGACCTGTAGTGATTGCTAGAATGAAATGGCATCGTGCGATCGGGGTGACGAAGGAATCAGGAAACCCGACGGAGACGCGAAAGTTTGATGGCGCCGATCTTGATTACAAGAATAAAGCCGAGCGCGTACTGACCAAATAGGCAGTTGCCGGCGGTACAGAGTCACTGCACAAGATTGAAAGTTTGCCAGTGGATCGCACAAGGTCTAAATAATCCCATCCTGTTCACTCGCAACAGTCCTTGACACCTACAGCCGCAATGACAACTCCCGCACACACTCCCGGTGGTTCTCCTCTTCCTGTCCCTCACGGTGTTGGAAACCCGTCTGGAACCCCAGTTGTGGCTCCCACACGATCTGCTCCACACAAGGATGGCGGTAACAGCAGTCTAGGAACATTCGGTGTATGTGTTTCACTGTATGTACGACTTGTTTACATGCTGAACATATGTCCGTGATACAGGTCAAATCGGGACTTGCGCAAATGCTCAAGGTTTGTAATTTATGCCCACCATGTCCGCCGATAAACTCTAAAAAGCCTTTCTTCACATTAGGGTGGAGTTATTATGGACGTAGTAAATGCGGAACAGGTCGGTGATAGCTTGGACTCAACATTACACTGAACATCCTTGTGTGTCTGATGCTTTAATTCTATTCAGGCACGTATTGCTGAAGAAGCCGGTGCATGCGCAGTTATGGCTCTTGAGCGTGTACCTGCAGACATTCGTGCACAAGGTGGTGTTGCTCGTATGGTACGTAACATCATAGGCATCATCTTGGTCGTTATTTAAATCATTCCTTGCACATAGAGTGACCCGAAGATGATCAAGGAGATCGTTGATGCGGTGACTATTCCTGTGATGGCCAAAGTTCGGATAGGTCATTTCGTGGAGGCTCAGGTGGGATAGGAACTCGATTAAATATTTCCAGAAAAATTCTGACAGTCTGGATTCAGATTCTTCAAGCCATTGGTATTGACTATATCGATGAATCCGAAGTTCTCACACCCGCTGATGATGAACATCACATCAACAAGCACGCATACAAGGTGCCCTTTGTGTGCGGAGCGCGGAACCTTGGAGAAGCCCTTCGTCGTATCTCAGAAGGTGCGGCTATGATTCGTACCAAGGGTGAAGCCGGTACTGGCAACGTTGTCGAAGCTGTGCGTCACCAACGCGCTGTTATGAGCGAAATTAGAAAAGCAAGCGTTATGAGTGAGGAAGAACTCTACGCTTACGCCAGGGATCTTCAAGCACCATTCCACTTACTTAAGGAAACCGCACGTCTGAAGCGTCTGCCTGTTGTTAACTTCGCTGCTGGTGGCCTGGCCACACCCGCGGACGCCGCTCTCATGATGCAATTGGGATGTGACGGAGGTAGGTTTTTATACATCGGAAGGAAATCACATGATTCTCATCTCCGTCTTTAGTGTTCGTCGGTTCAGGTATCTTCAAGGTAAGCTGTCGCCTGTTTAAAATTGATTCGTCCCAGTTGCACTATGCTAAAACTTTTACTTAGTCTGGTGATGCAGCAAAACGCGCCCGTGCCATAGTGCAAGCGGTAAGTGCCAACCTTTCCATTTATTCAGTTAATGGTTGTTGAGCATATAATCTAGGTCACCCACTACAACAACCCTAAACTTCTTGCAGAGGTATTCATTTCTACGAACCTATCCATCTAATATTTCTAACCCAAGAATAGATCTCCGAGGACCTTGGTGAAGCGATGGTCGGTCTGACAATGTGAGTTTCCATCAGTACCATCGACCGTAGCGTCCCGTCTTGATGCATCTCATATCTAGCGATGATAACCTCAAAGGTGGAAGACTTGCTAGTCGCGGCTGGTAAGAAAAACGCAACAGTGTAGGATGTAGACCATGAATCACAATGTTACCAATAGACCCAAGACATTTGTATACTATCTGTTGTCTTAAAAATGTCTTAAATTCTCTAACGTTGGATTGAGGATAAGTGTCATTCAGTCGACGTCAATCCCTGGTAGTATATCGGTTAGTACACGCGCCTGTCATTTGTATGGCCGCGCGAAAGCGGGGTTCGACTCCCCGCCAGGGAGGACCTTTTTACAAGGACCAATCGCAATCAGGAGTAGGACTGAATATGATTCTGATTCATGAGTACATATATCATGCATGCGAAGAATGTGTATTATCCGATGATAGTGTGCGCATGATTCAGCTCAGTGAGAATACATGAATCAACAGTGGATGAGCATTCAATAATTAATTGAGAACGGCGTGATCATCCAACCATTTCCTCACACCTTTTTTCGAAACCATACTCAGAAGACGCGTTTGATCAGACGCATCCCTCTCTCTGTAGAGACGCATAACATGTCCACAAACACTCCATACATCTTCCCAATCCGCATCAAAGAGTTCCCACCAACAATTCGGCGGAGTTGATGGTAAAGGAATGCCCAAATGCCTGGTCGCTAGCAGAATCGCCGCACAGACAATCGTAGGGACGGCATAAAGGGCGTAGACTGGTGTTTGTAGTCTTAAAGGTGAAAGAGAGATAGGGTTTCAGTTCGAATGTGACATATATAGAGTGACTTACGCGTCATTGAGGTACCCCCAAGCGCGGGAACAGACGGTTTCTTTGCTAGTAAGGCCAAGTACTCGCAAGTAGTTGACCAATGTTCCATATGGTAGTACTACATTGACGTGAAATCCTAGTCGTTTCAATATCTGCATTTCAGCTACGACCAATGCATCCTTCAAATCGTAGAAAGTGCTTCCAAAGTATGACATCGGGGTATATTTGAAGACGGCATGTTTTGATTGTGACACCAATTTTGATGTCGAAGAGTGTGTGGCCTGTTGTAGTAGTAGATCATAGACATTGATCAAGTCTCGCATTCGTATTGGGCATTCTTCAAGTTTTGATGCGAGGTAGAGTGCTCCCATTCCAACGTCCTTGACGTAGATGCAAAGACTGAGCTGCAATTCCCGGGATTGGAAGAACACTTACTCCAATTCCAAATTGCTTCATTGAGGTCACAAACCAAAAGCGCTGGAATAGAATTTGAGCAGTTGCAACTGCAACCTGCTTCCTTTGGGGACAGATGAAATCAATCAGGATTATACTCTAAATACAAATACGCGAGGAGAGGAGCCCACTGTTTGAGTAGTATGCCTGCTTGGTGTATTAGTTTACAGCCATAGGCTCGTAAGTCTTCCTCTAAGTCATACGGTATCCCATCTTTGAGTGAAGGTGTTTCCTCTATTTGTTCTAACGAGGCGAGTGGGTACAATGGAACAGACATGTTCGAGTTGATGACAAGAGGTAAAGAGGTCACCATATTTCCTTTTCCGAGTTGCAAACATGGGCGTCTAATCACGTCACAAAACAAGTGACAACAACCACCTACAATTGTATTTTCCAACTTTCACACCTATTAGTATTACAGCTTGACTTGGTTCGCTTTGTCTCTGATCCTTCACAAGCAATCGGGATGTCTCACTCGCATCTTCCTCCAAGACCGGAATTCGAACACTCAACATCATCAAGATACCCTCCACCGGATCGTTATGGTCGCCCCATGGCGCCACCTTCAGACAGGTACAGAGACACTCGCGACCCTTACCCACCAAGGTCTCCACCTCGCGACCGAGGCGATGTCTATGTTCCCAGGTCACCTCCTCGTTCAATACCTAGGTCCTCCGCCCCGTACCCCAGAGCGTCACCTCGGGATTCATATCCATTGAGAGACCCACTTCCGCCACGGGATGCGTACCCTCCCAGAGATCTTCCACCAAGAGACTCCTACTACGACAGGCGAGAAGATAGCAGATACTACAGGGACTGGCAGAGAAGAGATGGACCCGAATACAGATCTCGTCCCCCGCCACCGCCTCCTAGGGATTATGGTCGTGAACCTCCTTCTGACTTTAGAAGTCGCGACATCGATCGTGGTCGACGCTGGGATGACGAAAGGCGCCGATCTTATGACTGGGATCGCAGAGAGCGGAGCCCTGTGCGAGATCGGGGGTATCCTCGCTCCAGAGACAGCGAACGTCCTGTGCCAAGAGAACGACCACTTGAACCTGAGCGACGTTGGGTCCCTCGAGCATCAAAATCACCTCCAAGGCGTATGGGTATGTATATGAATACCTCTCGTGATATCTTGTTATCTGATTACAAATTTTCTTAGCTCCTAGTGCATCCTCAGGACCCCGTTCTAGCTCCATGAACAGGGGGCGCTCTCCGTCGCCGCCTCGTTTCCGGGAATCCCCTACACGTTCAAACTATGGTAGACCTTCTTCACCACCTCGCTCTCCTCCTAGAGATTCATCGAGATATACTTCACCTGGGGTCTTGAAACTAGGAAGTCATTCAATAGATGTCAGCCCTCGGTACACTCCCCGCCGCGAGCGTGGGCGCCCACGAAGCCCTGACAGTCGCCCTCATAGTCCTGGTCGCTATCGTAGTGGAAGTCGTAGCCCAGTGAAAAGATCTACTCCTGCTGCCAGCCAGCCAAACGTTGATCGTTCGAGACCCGATGAAATGACACGAGACGACTTTGCATCTTCCATTCCAACAGAATCTCGCCCTTCAGATACCCATTATAGTCCAACATCAGTCAAACAGGAAAAGCTTGACGCTCCTGTTCCTCCTACTGTTGTCTCCTCTTCTGCTGAGTATCGACGAGTGCCTGATCTCAAGGCTGTCCCTGAAATTTCACGTCCTGTCCAAAGTCCTTCCTTGCAATCGCATCCACCTTCTGCCAACTACTCACAGCCTCGACGTCGTTCTCGCTCTCCTCCTACTCAACCTCGGCACTTTGTGAAAACACCGACGACGCCTTCCTCACCTCAAGTACCAACTCCCACTCAAAACCTCCCTGTGAAGCCTGACTGGTCGTCAAATAAGGCTAGCCCTCTGTCTACCTCGACTCCCACTGTTGAAACCGTCCCATCTCATTCTGCTCCTTCTGCGCATGTTCCTTGGATACCTCGGTACCGTACGAGTAATGTTTCACATGAACTTGAGGCTGAGGTACTGTTGTTTATTGGGCTTGGATTTCTACATTACGCTGAACGTCAGTTTGACAGATTGCTCGCGTGGAGACACAACGCGGCCGACTGTCCACTGAATACGTTGCTATGGCCAAAGAAACCAGGAGGGCTATGCACGAACTCGAGCTTACTTCGCGGGATCTCAAACTTGCCGAGCAACGACGCTCTATTGCTATCGCCCAGTTGGAGAAGGCGCGCGCAGGCCTTCTCGGTGTCGAGTATTCTGCTTGAAAGGGCAAAATTCATATGCGGCTCTTATATCTTCTGACCCAAGTATCTATATATGCTTTACCGATCTCGATTCGCTGAACGTTTGTCAAATATGCTTGTATGACTTAACTTGTCCATAACATTGGTGCTTATGTGCTAGGGAATATAATTTTAGAGTGAGATAATTACTTTGGTATGCGAAAGCACTCCATATGCGTTCTTGCAGGGTCCATAGGCAACGCACAGAAGAACCCTTGATCCTGGTAATTTGCTCGTGTAAGTCCGTTGCATTCTGTTAGGTGCCTATGAGACAACGTACCTGCATAGTTTGGAACATTTGGGTTGAAAACATATGAAGCTGTCGGAGTTTGTATAAGCCTCAAAGCGCTAGAGTTCATATTATCGAAGGGTACCTGAATACACTTTCTGCTCAATTTCTTGCCTTCACGGCAGATTTCAGTCTGTGGTTCATTACGTTGACCGTCAAAGATGTATCTGGAGTCCGGATCTTCCTGCAGCATTGTACTGGTGTTGAGCCTATGAATAAGCAATAAAGAAGGCATGCAGCATACCGCAATAAATGATTTTAGGGTTTTGACTGGATCGTCGGAGGTCATTATGACTGTAATAAGGGAAGAAAAGGCGAAAGGCTACCGTGACCATTCAGTTTTGAACAACTCCATGACGTCGGCAAACCCCGTACGTAAGCGATCTTGAGTCATCATCAAGCCATGATCAGGCTCAGCCACACTTGCCGCAGTGACAGTCACTTTGCCGCAACTCGTCCGATTACTCTCTTCTACAATAGTTCTACCTCTCTTGTTTGCTACATTCTACGACCACACAGAGAATAAATGTTAGATCATTGTTCCATCTCCCACAAGGGTCAGTGATCAGCGGTCCAAACTCGTCGTCTTCACTGACTCCGATCATTGCAGGAGGAATAGTTCTCTGGTCGCGGTCTTTCACACCTGCAGCAGCTCAAGCAACAGCCTCGTCATCGTCACCGGTCAATTCTTTGATTCGAGAAGCCTTGATCGAGGGTCGTACGGCGGAGGACAAGTATGAGAAGGATGGATACGCAGTCAAATGGACGTTTGTGAATGACCTTGAACTTATCTTTGTGGTGCGTCCGTCATGCTCTGCTTTGCAGTGAAGTGTCAATTCGCTCCATTTGCCAGTTATGTATTGTATCAATATTGACATAGAATATATAGGTTGCATATCAGAGGATATTGCAATTGACTTACATTGACGAACTGCTGGCCACTTTGAAGTCTATCTTTGTCAAGCTCTTCGAACCATTCCTCGCTACGTTTATTGCTTCGTTGCATGCGGCTAGCAAAGGAAAGATACTTTCTACCGTTGGAGAAACTGCTGCAACATGGGACTTTTCTAAAGCCTTCGAGAACTGGGATGCTGTTTTCAATAAAATACTCCACGGCCTAGAAAGCAAAGCAACCCAGGTACCTGCTCCGTCATTCCTGCTGTACCCATTAAATTCTCATACTTTCTCAAGGATCGCAGGACACGTTTCAAACCTACACAGATGGCAGTGGAGCCTAGCCCTCCCACTGATGATATGAGCCTCAGTAAGTTCACTCGCATCCGTTTCTGTCACACGAGTTGTCAAACTCAGGGGTAAAATTGCAGTCCCTTCGGAATCTGTTGAAGCCTCTGTGGATGAAGAACAAATTGCTAGGAATGTACAAGCACTCAAGAACCGTCTGAGGGGTAGAGGTGCTAGGGGTGGTCGACGTGGGTCAGGGAGGTCGGATATTGGAAGTGGGAGAGATAGTCTTCCTGGTTCCGAGTGAGTCGATCA